CACCTCTGAAATTTTCTTTAATTCATCTTTCACAATAAGGTTCAGGATATGAGCAAGACAGCAGTTATAAAAAAGTTCTTTTTTGGTATTAATTAAATCTTGCGAAGCAAAATTAATTAGTTCACGGATTGCAACATCATTCAAACTTGCATTGTCAAGAGTAATAGTTTGTAGCTGTAAATATATAATATTATTAATATATGTTAAATAATATCAATATCAAGACAATAATTATATACCTTTGTAGTAATTAAGTAGTCATTGGTTATAGTCTTAATACAATTTGCAATATTGGCACTAGTATGAGGATAGAAAAGTAGTTGGAAGGATATTAAAAAAGATATAAGGTTTCACTTTTCATCCAAAAAATGAGCAGTGATTGCCAAATATCCTAGTTGCCGAAGCGATGTCTATACATCACATGTAAGAGAGATTCTGTCTTTGGCATTTTGAAGAAATGTTCTTATTAAATTTTTTCTTTCTTCATATCCTTTCATAACATTGTGCTTTACTGTATCAGCACTCATACTAAAGCAAGGTAGAACCCTACTTAGAAATTTACGAAAGCCAGGTTTTTTAACAAATTGAAAATATAGTTTATCCTAAATTATTATATCTACCAGGTCTTTTTGACTTGGGTTTTCTATACGTTGCTATTTAGTTAAAATAGGAAAATTCAAATAGGTTTGACCATTTGATCTATTTGATCCATTTGAATGTTCATTACATGTTCTATTTCTTTTAAATTTATTACAGGATTTAAGATAGCATCAAAGATGTAATGTTCCAATACCTTTTTTATGAGCTAGAATACTTTTGCAATATTTATATTTTGTCTTTGGTTCATTTGATAATAAGGTAAAGTGTTTCCAAACTGCTAAAGTACTTTTTAAAGATGTTGAACTTGTGGTAGTGGTGGTGTTGTTAGCAGCAGGAAATACTAGTATGGGTGATGAAGTCACAGAGTCAGTAGAGGTTACATTTTAAATATCCATTATATCAGTAGAAGTTATGTTTTGTACGTCTATTGTATTAGTAGAGGTTATATTTTGAATATCTATTGTATTAGTAGAGGTTACGTTTATTGCAAATACAATTCTTATTCAGCCAAGAGTACACTATACAATTAGTGTCATAACAGTTAAAAAAACTTGACCCATTTAAAATCTCAAATAAGATTGAAATATTTATTTAACTTATCTATTTTTTTTTTTTTTTCTTTTTTTTCATTTTTTATTTACTTTGGTTAATTTGAAAACTACACCTTTGACTACAACCTCTTTACTGATTATGCAGTATTTCTTTTATTTTTTCTTAAAAAAAATATCTGCTTATTATAATCTCTTTTTCTTTTATACATTAAAAAGAAGATCATGCAAAGTTAAAGTCTTAGATTATCTAACCAGTACAAAATTTTAGCCAATCAAAGTTTAAGACTTGTGCTTATGTGATTTTTCATAGTATAATGACGGGTACTCTTCGATACCCAGAGCTAGGTATATCTGGATCCAAGTCTTACTAGAGTACTAATATTCAAGCCCTATTTAGCTCTATCTTCTTTTAAGGGTTTATAATTTAATACTCTAGTCTATCTTATATAGTACTACCCTAAGGGTATCCATGAGTAGCCCAGGCCCATGCGGAGGCCTACCAGAATAGGAGAGAATGTACCTAAAAATAAAAACATATTACACAATTGATTAACATTATAATTTTAGAGTACTTTTTCACGAGGCTTGTGTAGCCTGTCTTCCCTATGAAACATGAAAAGTCTACTAAGCAAACTTGAAGTTTTCGTACCATATTTTAATAATATCTACTGAATCCAAGTGAATCCACCTGTCTTTATAATCAATTTACCTAATGAAATATATATATATAATTAAATAAATATAGAATACAAAACTTTTAGAACAATAAAATTCAACTTGTTGAGCAAACAAGAAAGAAAAAAAAATTAAAGTAATGATCTAGTAAAGGTAAAGTGGGTAAAAACACTGATTTATACTATAATTATTATATACTTTGTATAGAATTTTTTAAAAAAAGCCTAAGTAACAAGCTTGCTAACTATATTTATAATTTTTTTTTATTTAAGATATAATAAAATTATGTTATATCGATATATATTGTTTCAAATTTTTTGTATTTATTAATAGGTTAAAATTATGTTATTGTTATGTGAGATAAGATGCTTAGATTTGGTATTTGATAAAGTCAAGTATATGTAAAAATGATTATTGTATTAAGCTCTTATAAGTAATAGTAGCTGTATAGAAGTTAATTAATCGGATTAATAAGAAATAAATTAATAAATACATGCTTGTCCGCTCCAGACACTTAAGGCACTTATTTTAAATTCTAAAATATAAATTTTAAAATTAATTTATTTTATTTTGTTTCGTTTTTCTTATCATTATCGTTATTTTTTTAATTTTTTAATTTATGATTTGATTGGCTAGTTATAATGTGACAATACATGAACATTTGTGTAACATTTAACATTCCCTACCAGTAGCTAGCAACTCGCGTTACTAAGTAATAGTTATATCCTGGGCAGTTGGGTATAAGCGGGGCTGAAAGTCCCGCTTGTACACATAGTGCCCAGGGTATAACTGATTTATGCCCTGCGATCTTGATATAATGACCAGGGTATAATTATTGAATATATAATAATCATTTATTTTTAATTTATTAATATTTGGCAAAAAATTAGCATTAGTTTTTTTGTTTTAAAATTATAGTATATAATTTGTAAAGTTGTTTTTATATTTAGGTACTGTATTTTATAACTTATATTTTAAATTTTTTATATTAATATTATATATAATAATAATAAAAAATTTATACGTATACGTATTAAAACTTTATTTTTAATTTATTTAAAATGTCAAAAAAATATAAATTTAAAAATATATATCTGATACCGTATAAATCACTAACACTGTAAACCAAATACAGCACATTTATCACTATATATATACTTTTTTTAAACCCTAAATTAGCTTTACGTATCACTACGTAGAGATATGCCTCGCGAGAGATAAACCTAATATATATTTTATATACCATGTGATTTCGCGCGAGATGTGAATGACTTCATATTGAATTAAATCACGATTGCTAAAATTTTCTCAAATAAATGCATCTTGCGTGAGATAATGTCAGCGTCTCACACAAAGGCACAACTCTAGAATACACTAAAATAAATGAGTGTTGCCAAGACTTTGGGCTTTCAGTTTATTAGATTCAGCCCTTTTAAAAATCTGATACGTAGTAACATACTATCTACAATATATATGATGTATAGTCATATACTCATATACGCATCATCTATATCACCAATCAGATTTTTCTTGGGCTAACTCTAATAAATAATAAAGAAAGCCCGATGACTTATTTTCCCAGACAGCATTCATATGTTGTGCCTCAGATTAGTTCTTGCTTTAGGCAATAACCAAGACACCTTAGATGTTACCCGTTAATAAGTCGCTCAGCTATCATCTGATACTGCGATTATCATTATTTGAAATTCAAAAGGAAATTTCTGTTCACATATTTATTTTATAATCAATATCAAATACAGTATAATCAATAGGTTGTTAATGGGGTTCATTCACAAAAAAAAAATATATATCCATCTTAGAATTATTGCATCGAGATTACGCGTCTGACACCAAGTTCAAAAGTTATGCGATTAATTTTCAATATATTTTACCGACTAATTGACGTGTAAAATGGATTTTTTATTTGATAAAATAAGTTAACGTAATGAATAGATAAAATTACATCGTTCAATAAAATTTTTTTTTTTTTTGAGCTACAAATATTCCATAGTGAAACTTTTAAGTTACCTGCAGCACAGTAGAGTAATTTAAGTACGTAGTCAACTGAGGCATATACTATACTGTATTATATTATACTGTATATACGTATAGCTAAAAATATTTCAACCTTTTGATTACAATTATATACAGCATTTGATACATATACGTATATATAGTATATATTTTAGTTAAATTTATTTTAGTGTAAAAACTAGTCTAAAGCCTTATTTAAGTATATACTGTTTGATTTATTGATTATTCTCACCTTAACGTTATATTTAGACCAGATCTAACTTAAAATTTAAGATTTTATACAGTAGATTTTTGGCATCTATTTGAAGTTAGAAATAACACTTGTTGCTTGTGTAATATTGCATTTTTATAAAACAAGTTACCCGGGCAATTGATTTGCAACAAACTTCTTCAACCAATAAGAATCCTGGTGATTACAGTCACAAATCATGCACTATGGCTTCATCAAAACATCAAAGCCATGTTTACATCATTATGACGTATTGGATAAAGGAAGTAAAATTCACTTCCGGAAAGATCCGAGTACATACCGTAATGTTCTCTTATATACATTGTGCTTATATGCGTGTAGTTGTTTAAGTTGAGCCTCTCTCATACATAAGTCAAAACAAATATGCATACGGAGAATATGCAATTATATTAATTCTCATGCTAACAAAGTTTGTAGCAATGCAAGATTGATCTTAATGACGTATCGGGATATATACCCCGTCCAGATGACCGCAAAGAAACACCATATGATCGAGCCTGTGGATATATCGTGGATATCATCGTTTTTTATATATATAAATAAAGAGTCGCGAGATAAATTTTTTTTTTAAATTAAAGATTTTTTTTTTCTAAAAAGATTATTTGTTTTAAAAATGATCTATTCGAGTGAGACTAATCCTTATGTGACAAATAAATGGGTTGTGATCGTGGTTATCGAACAAGGTATGCCATTAACATTTATTGAATTCTACAAGTCACTCGTTTATAATAGCTAAATTTCTTCTCTATATCGAGAGAATTTGAATTTAGCTTCGCTTTAATTATATCGAGAGTTCTTTATAATTTAAGTAACTTTCATTATTGATCATATTAATCATTGATTTAATCAACCTATCATTAGGACGGATATTGTCGAAGTCTGAGTTTAAAATGACATCATATGATCCGAAGACTTTTCGCGCATTCTTTGAACCTAGAAAACCGATACAACAGCTGCGTCTCTATTCAACTTCAAAACATCATTATCCTCAAATAACATCAATCACTTTACTCGAATATAAAAATGGGCTTGTAACGGCTGAAGAACAGATTTCGCATAGTCCTCTTTCATTCTCGGTCAAAAAATGTGGCAAAATTCGCCTCTTTCATCCTAAATCACTTTGGCATATGTATATTCAAGTATCAATGGAATCCTGCAAGACGAAAAATCGGCAGCGTTACGTTTCTCCATTAGGATTCGAAGTTGAGGTTGACATGAATATGTCGGATGAAAGATACCGGTTTATTACTAACGAGGAGATTATAAACGACATAAATGTCCTAACACCACCACCCATTGTAAGGTCAACTTCTTCCTTTCCATTTAAAGATCATAAGTTCACCGAATGGTGCGTTAAAAAACCTTCAAGGTGGCGAAAAATGTTATCACATACAGGTCATACCGTTAAAAGTTGGTGTCGAAGAGGATTTATGTAATTTACGTTCTATAAAATATGTAGTCGTACCTGGGTTATATCCTCTCTTACTTTTGTTATCTTAGTTAGATCTCTTATTTTGAGCATATATATAAAGTTATATACCAACTTAGATCTATAAATAAATATATATATATATATACTGTATATATAGAGAAAAAAATAGAGGTGATATAACCCAGGTATGACTGTATATCTGGTTTTTCCTTTTATTATTTTTCTTATTCTATTGCACTATTTTATTTAATATATATATAATTTATATTATTTACCTTCCAAAATTTGATGTGTTTTTATATTAATATTGTATATAAGATAATTATTAAGATATTTATTAGCAAAAAAAAAATATATGTAAACTTCCATAAGTTTTTATGTGAGAATAAAATTACAAAAAACTTTCAATTACTTTAGAGTGTTATGTAGATATAATAATTTCGGAAGTTTACACTATACTAACATGAGTATTTTTATATATATAGTAATTATTATAAATATTTATACATAGTAAATTTGAAACAAGTAAAACATATTAAGTCAAAAGCTTTTAAAAACTTCTGCAAAATTTTGAAATCTTACAAACAAATAAATCTCAAAAATATGCATAAACATATATCATTCCTTAAACTGTAGACAATTCCAGGCAAATTTGCCTAGAAAATTGCTATAAATTTGTTTATAATTTACTTTTTTTAAAATTTAAAATATTTAAATAAAA